AATAACAAAAAAAAAAAAAAAAAAAAAAACGATTAACTACAAACGGAACCGATCTGTTTAGTAAATTTTCAATCCAAGCCTTAAGTAACCGACATTCTTTTTACACCCCTAAACCCTAGACCGAATCGTTACAATTCCTCAATTAATTTCATACTAGACCCTCAACCTTTAAAAATGCTTTCATTACTAGTTACTAACCTTTAAATCCGTTAAAGCCATCAATTAAGTTCCTCACCTTCTAGGGATATCATCTTCATTATGTTTAAAAAAAGGGTACAAATATTCCAAGCTAAGGGTACAAGTCTTATATTCAAACATTTAAAAAAGGGAAAACGGAAAACCAAAACCCACATCACGCAATCACCCCCCAACGGCCACTGGCACCATCAACCATCCCCAAACTATGAACCACTCACCTGGAGGTTCAACCAAAGGTTTCGATTTAACGGTAACCGGAGGTTACTGTTTACCGAGTTTAGTAAAGTTCGTGGGTTGATATAGAGAAATAACCAAATTTTGTTGTTGAAATGGGTTTTACTCAAGGTATTAGTCGGTGCGTATAATCTGACACGAAAACTCACGGTTGCTAAAGATCAAAACTTTTTCACTAACTTAAAGAAATGGATAACCACACAATATTAATGCAAAAAGGTCATCATCTTTCCGTTACTAACCCATGTATTTCATCAATTCAATCGATTTCATATGTTTGTTCAACTTAACCATGCATTATTTAAACAAGTATAAGCTTAAACATGATGTAACACTCGAGATAATCCATGTTTACAACACCCAACCGTCCTCGTACCTATCTTATTGTGTCTCACAATGTTGAATGAACTCTTTCTATATGTCAATCAATACATACATTCATATGCATTCACATACGAATAAACCCATCATAAATCCAATATTAATAACCAATAACTATAATATATATGTCACATGTTATCCAATAAAGTGGATGTTGTTATATTTAAAACTGAAACAGACTAAGAAAATTACTAAAACCGACATACATGAGTTCCCATTTCAGGAGGACCTTGAAAATTTGCACCTTGCATATTAAAGGCAGTGTATTTATTTTTAGAAAATATCAATGAAAGTTGAATACTTAATAAGAAACCGAAAAAAACAATGGAAGAAACAAATATCCACTCTCTTCCCGTAATGTCCCTAACCCTAATTAAAAAAAGAAGCAATGATCATGTTCCCAAAGGGTGAAGTTAGGAATTTTGGATAAAAGGAGTTTAACTGTTCAAGTTGATACTTTATTGTAAAATAATAACAATATATTTTGCATACGAATTTTTTTTTACATAAAATTAAGAAATACACGACCTACTATGTTAGACTAACACATAAACCTTCCAATCACTAAAATTATCGTTAATCCATTTTCTCATGAACTAATAATCTACTATAAATAAAATCATTAGTAGGAACTTCACATATATGTTGGAAATTTTAGTGGGTTGGAAGTCTATCTTCCATCCTACATTGGTAGATAAAGGAACTCTAGAGAAAATTATAAAGCTTTCCCTACAATTGGGCTTTGAACATATGGGTAGGCTCATGGTGGGGGTCTTGAGTGCCGTAAGGAGGCGCACTTTGCATTTCGCTTTGACCACGTTTTCCTGGAGATAAAGATTGTTTGAGAATAATCCTCCAACTAACCATGATCATCCGATTTTTTGGGATGAGATCGTGGGTTTTTTTAGGGTTTCCCCCAGTATAAATACTGGCTAGAAGCCACCCCTAAGGATAACCCTGAAAATCATCTGTTTCTCTCTGCGATTTCTGCTCCTACCCGTTCTTTCTCTCTACCGATTCCTGCATCTATCTCTCTACGTGTGCTGCATCAAATCCCGGGGTTTTGCGACTAGCAGACTCACAGCGTACAAAAAGTAGTTGCATAAAACCTATAAGGACATATTTTACCGTGCAGATTACGATTCAACGACGGATAAATTAGGTTGGTTTTAAATTTTCGTGCATTGTATTTAATTTCATTTCACTAAGTGAACAACTCTGCTTCTACTCCTTTCTTTCATTGAATCTATCGCGGATGATAGATTCAATCTGTGTGGATTTGCATATTGTTGAGGTGTTGTGGATTCCGGACACAAAAGTTACCATCTTTCATCTTAATTTTTTTTTTAACTTTTCCAGTTAAATATTTATAAGTTTTATAAAGATTAAAACTTTATTGGTTTCATCTATCTAACTCAATAATTTTCAACAATATATGTCTTCTTTAAAAAACATTCGAATAAACTTAATTAACTTCATAGGTTTAAATATTTAATTTTTTTTAATTATTAAAAGAAAACAAAATATTAATATACTATATTATAAAGCATTTGGCTCATTTTCTTAAAACCGAATTACTATGCATAAGGTACAATTAATTTGTGCACATTACTTAAAATTTAAAAATACTAGTTAATTAAGCATACGTACATGTTTTTAAAGCATACCATTCCCATTGAAATCGTTACTTGCACCTACAATCTCTCTAATCCAACTAACGTCCCTAGAATCTCTCTTTTTCAAAGAGTAGATAGCTATTGTTGATTGCATATCTAATGAGCGATTTTCACTCCTTATTTCTAATAATCGCCGTCAACTTCCCTTCCCCAAAGCTTGGTTAATTCTTTAAGTATTTGACAAAAACTCTTACAAATCATTTTTATGCATGAAGTGCTGTTTATTGATGTATATTATTTAAAAATCAAAATTACAAATAATTTTGCGTAAGTACAACTTATTAAAGCTCCATTTTTAAATTCGTGTAACTAACTGCAGATAAATGGAATCAAATACAATATAAACATTCATTTTAAATATAGAAAATCTAAAATATAATTAAGATAATCATTGAGTTTTAACAGAATATTTAATTATAATATTTATAAAAAATTATATTATTAAACCAAAAATAAATTACTTTGTTATTAAATCTAAATTAAATTATAATAAAAAAATTGAATTAAAGAAGTTACACAAAAACATATATCTATTGAACAGTTAATTTGATATACTAATATCGATTTATTTATTTTTCAAACTTTTACGTTATCTTCAAATTTATATTTTATTCAAAAATAAAAACATTATCGCTTTCTCAAAACCACATTAAATCGTTTTATGTCGATAGAGACAAGGAATAAAAATAAACATTAAAAATGAAGATTTATCTCGGTGCATTACGCGAGTACCCTTCTAGTATTAATAAATACTAATTAACGTACTTACCGTTGTGAAGAATGGTAATTGTCAACAAATTCTT